ACTGTAATAGTAAAATTGATAGGTTACATCTAAAAGATCTTTGAGTTATGTATGTTCATATTCACAAGTCAATTCTCGTAAGGCATGGAGGGTTGGAAGGGGGAAGTCACCATTCCAGCCTGGCTTTAATGCTGAACTCTGTGCCACTCTGTATCCTCCCATTCAGATACACCTGGAGGAGCATGTCACACTTCCAGTCCCCGCCAAAGTTCTTTGCCACAGGCAGAAGCATGGCCCTTGGTAAATGTTGTTCAGAAAGTTTAAGCAGTCGAGCGAGCGGAGGATGATTTACACATTGGACTGACATTGAGTTGGGATGGAGTATGAAGGGGGCAAAGTTATAATCAACCCTGATTCACAGGCAGGGGAGAGTAGGGCAGGGAGAGTCATGCATCACCTCAGTGGCAGTGAGCTACAAGGGAGCAGGTGAGGCTGGCAGCCTCATTTATTTTTTCCTCTGCGGTAGATCCCATGTTTACACTTAGGGCACATCTACACAGCAGGGCTAAATTCGAAATAAGCTACACAACTTGAGCTATACTAACTGTGTAGCTCAGTGTTTCTCAAACTCTGGGTTGCAACTTAAAGAGGGGGTTGCAGCTGGATTCAGTTTTTCACTTTTGGCCCCTCTCTTCCAGGCCGCGAATAGCGGCAGGGCGGTGGAAGGCAGCTGCCGGCAAGCCGTGCAGCATGGCCAGGGCCGCGGGACTCCAGGAGCACGGCTCAGCTGCAGCAGGAGGCGGACGTGCAAGGGGTAGGCTGGGGCACGGTTGCCGGGTGACCGAACGCTTCCCCAGCTCGGAGAGGCCAGGGTCCCTCAGGCAGTGGGCTGGGGGATTGGGTCGGGGCAGAGGACCTGGAGGTAAATAAGGGCACGTGGGGGTCAGAGGAGACACAGGGGAGGAGTGGAGGACGGAGGAGAGGAGAGGAGAGAGAGAAGGAACCAAAGGGATGCGGAGCGGAAAAGAGGCACAGAGGAGAAAGAGACGGGGGGAGGGCGGGAGAAGGAGCCTACCAAGGGGGAAAGGAATTGAGGACCGCAAACACCTTGAAGGAATCCCAGGAGGGCAAGGAGTCTGGTGAGAAGGGGGAGGAAGCGACCCAGGGCAGTGAGAGTGGGGGATCACACAAATTCATTTAGCATTTTGGGGGTTCATGGTATCACAAAGTTTGAGAACCCCTGGTATAGATTAAGCTGAAATTGCTTATTCGACTTTT